GTCACCACTAGCATAAAAAGTATACTTGAAGTAGACACACAGTTGAAGGCATAATAAAATGACCATACGTCTATTCTCTGCACGGGGTAAGAAAATAGAAAACCACTAATAGTTCAGACTCCCTGTGACCACTTCTTGATATCCCCCCCATTCCCCCCCACCCCGGCCTCCAGTTCTGAAAATAATGTATTGTATTTCTCTGAGAGTATTACAGCTCAAGGAGACTGCGTTTGTCTGGGGTGGGTTGTGGAGATCTGGAGCGTTACCCCAGGCCACCCTCTCTCAAGCTCCCTGGGAGAACCATTCATTCACTCGCTCTTCCCCGGCTGCTATCCATGGAAGAAGGGCTTAGGGCATTCTTCGTGTCTCTTACATGTGTACTTTCTTCTAGCACTTCCTCCGAACTCGTCTTGGTGTTTCTATGTCTGTGCCGTTTGCTGGCGCTCAACGTGATAGTCATGATGGTGTCTGATTTTAGCGATTCCTCTAGTTCTTCGGGCTCTACTCCTTAAAATACAATTCTATTATTATTAAGGTGTTGGGCGGGAGTGTGTGTGACTGTTTCGTACGTCAGGTTAGGCTCTTCTTCACTTTCTCCTTGCTATTCCCCCCCCCTGCAGTGGTGGGCATTCAGCCCGGGTTCTGAAGACGCTGCGCGAGTCCCTGTCGCTGAGCTGCAGCCCTGACCTGTGTATTTTGTTGAGCCCCCACCTCCTACCTGGCGGTACCCGTGAGTGGCTCCACCTGTCGGCGCTGGTTGGCTGCCTGAGGCTTCAGATCTCCCAGGCCTCTCTCACTGATGCTCTTTCCAGCGGATTTCACTAAATATTCCTCCAAAAAGTCTCCTTTTAATCTACCAATTAATTGTGCTAATGGTCTCTGACTATTGGCAGAGTTCCTGTGGGCAACGCTGGCCCTGCCCTGGGGCTCAGCTGCCCTGGGATCCAAGAACGCTTGCTTCTTTCTACTCACCCACTTTCCTTGTTTGCAGGGGAAAGGGGAAAGATTTCCAAGCTCTTTGCACATGAGACAAACCTGGATGTCCACAGTGATCTTTTTATGGACAGAAAATACTAATTTGAATCTTTTAAAAATTGAGGCTATTTACCAATATTGTTCTGCATTATGTGATAGTTGTCTGTGCATAATATTTCCTCCTGATATTTACTTTCACACTTATACTTAAAATCAGTTGTAACTGATTTTGTGTATAGCGTGAAACATAGTTAAGATTTCCTTCTGTCTAGGTGGATATTCAATTGAACTAGTAACATTTGTTTAACAGATCAAGTTTTCCTGCAAATTTATAGTGATTTCTTTTTTTAAAAAAATCATGGGTTTGAATCTCTTTTTCTGCTTCCTACTTTGCCTTTGTGGTCTTTGCATTATTATTATTATTTGATTTATAAAATAAAGTTAGGTTTGTTGTTTGGCTAGTTCTCTAGATTCAAAATTTCTGTTTAGATTGCATTCTCATATGAGTTTTATAATTGACTTGTACAAACACACACACAATTAAAGATTTGGTGAGCTTGGACTGAGTATGTAAATAACTTAAAGGAAACAAGACGATTGTTAAATAGTGGATCTTCTGAGCCAGCAATTTCTTTTAGTGCTCCACTCATTTATTTTTTGAAAGCTATTTTCCACACTAGCTTACTGTTTTCTGTGAACACATCACATTTTTTGGTTAGGCAGATACCTTGTTTCGTTATTATTTCTTCTTGTAACGAATATGTGTTGTCATGGTGGTTAATCCCAAGGTCCAACTGACCGAGAAACACTTCAGGGGTGTTTCTAAGGTGCTTCCAGAAAGACTGAAGAAATGTGGGCGACAACACCTGTACCCCCACGAGGCTGAGGCCCAGGCAGAGTAGTCAGGGGGAAGGAGACAGAGTGAGTGCAAGCATCTGTGATCTCGGAGAATGGCCGTACCTCGCATTCACTACTTATGAAGCCACTGAAGAATTTGCTATCCTCCTTGCCAGACCTCTTTTAAATTATAGATGAAAAGGAAAGCTGAGTAGTCAGAAAATCTGGCTGAGTTTTCTGTGACAGAAAAATGGGAAATCAATGAACAGATGCATGTATATGTGTGGTGCATAGCACTGGGGATAATCAGTCATTCCTCCTTTTAAACACTCGGGGAGGTGTTTTCTTATACTTGTTTCTTGCTGTTGAACTAAACTTGAACCTCTGGACTACAGCAAACTCCTCTTATGCACATTGCTGCATGTGGTTTACGGTCTGAGTTAGAACTTGGCACACCTGTTCACAGGTGAGGGTCGCCGTAGTTTCCGTTCCCTATACTGCTCCTTCCTGATTTGGCAAGCAAGAATGCATTATTCATAAAATTAAATGTTATCTGAAAATGTTTGGCAGTACTGAAATCACCTCCTTCTTTTGCATTCAGTTTGACTCCTTTGTAAAGCATCTGAGTTTGTAAAAAAGAAAAAAATTCCAGACTTCACGAGGTTCTACTTCTGTGTTTCCATTTCTGAATTTTTTTTTACTTGATTTACCAAGCTTTCTTTATTTTAAAGAATCACCTTGAGTAAATGCTGAATTTCTCATCTAAGTTTAGAATTGACTTCTTCATTTCATTCCCATGATTATTTAAATTCCCTTGAGAAGGCTGATAATTTTTAAACCTAGATTTTTTCAACCATTTTGAAATCTTTGGATTTATCTGTTGAAATTATGAATGACTGACAGAGATGTGTTGAAAAACATGAATGACAAATATCTAATGCATATATTTATAAAACACACTGTAATGCAAAGCTTTATGCATCCTGTCTCATAAAGAAGCATGAAAAGTTATTCCCAGTCCTCCTAGTGATTGTCCACACCCAACATGAGCCTCAAGATAGTGCACTAGAAATTCTGCCTCCTCCCCCTCTCCCTAGCAAGTACAGAACTGGGAATCAGAGACTGCTGGCTGGCTAATGACAGGAAATTTGGAAAAGTCTCCTTGAGAACCTCATAAACAAATCACAGGAATAAGGATTTGCCAGTTGGTGGCATTTTAATATGCTTTAGTAAGAGTCTATATAAAAATGAATGCTTTCATGTGAAAATTAGGTTAATAACTTGGTCTTTCTAAGAGAAAAGAGTAAGCACATGGAAAATGTTATGGGAAAAAGCTAATAGTCTGCTCAGGAGAAGAGAGTAAAAGCACATGGTATTTCTTCATGAGAAATGTAAATACTGCCAGCCCGCTGGTCTCCGCACTCCTAATTAACATGCGGCGCTGGTCTCCGCACTCCTAATTAGCATGCGGCATTGGATCCCGTGTGTTCCCCTCTGCTCTCAGAAGTTATGAAGCCTCCCGCCACGGCAATGCGGAGGCGTGGCATTCCGCAGATTAAGCCATTTGTTCACTGGCCTTTGGCTTAGGGACCTGGGGAACAGGAAGGAAAGCGAGGCTCCATCTTTACATAAAACTGGAGGCGAGCAGGCTGGTTGCTACGTTACCCCCATTTTTAAGATGTGTGCTTGGCCACGCCACTTCTTTGTTCCTCTGCCCTTGAGTGGCTATAAAGATCCCACGCCGAAGTCTCTGCGCTAATACAATTTCTTGTATGAAATCACACCTGACAATTATGGATCTTTGACTTCCACACAATCATCTCCAATCCCCTAAGTCATATGCCTAGATAACTTTTTCTTAAAAGCACCAGTAGAACCTGGAGACCAGGAAGATCCCTCCGCTTGTGTGATTCGCATGTGCTTTCGGGGCCAGAGTTGGGGCGCTCCTTCCAGAACTCACTTGCTTCCTACTACCCTTGCCAAGGCTCCACCATTCCTTGTCTTCTTGCCTTAATATTAGCTTCCAGTTGGAGCCCTGTGCGCGGCTCTCCACCCCCAACTAAAGCGAGCGATATCCACTCCCCATCCAGCACCAACCTTACGAGAGACACTTCAAAGATTCCAGGGAAAAAAGAAACCACGCAGGGTGGAAGGGAGGGAAGGCGTGGGCTTCCTGGTCCAGGGCTCTGTGCTCACCACCTGACTTAGGGAACTGCAGCCCTCTGGACAACTCCTTCATGACAACCTCACAGGTACACTTGTACCAAGACAGGAGGCGTGGCCACGGCTTCCCGAAGCCCAAGCTAGCGCTGTCCTGGATGAATCTGATCTGTCTCTGATTTCCACTCGGAGGAGTGGGTGACGAGAAATGGTCTCGGGTGGTTGTCCGCCAGCAGTTGTAGCAGCAGCAGCAGCAACAAGACAACCAAGTTCAGTTTTAGACAAGGAGAAGAACGTTTGGGGTGAAACTCTCAGAGCTTGGAGAGGTATCAGAGAAAAGGAACTAACATTCATTTTAAAATCATATTCCCCAAATGCTAATTCTATTCTTTGAAACAGGCACAACTTAGAATAGCACTGAGTTCAGCTCCTACACCTCCCGGCTTTCCAGAGGTCATCCTTGTCTCACACAATGAGACACACTTGAGTTCTTTTGTGGAAAAAAAAGAACATGGTGTGTGTCACAGTGAGTTGGGTAACATCAGGGAAACATCTTAAGCGAAATAGTGTACTTCTCACCGTGCTACGCACCGCATGACATGCCCAGTGACCAAGCATTCGTGCCAACACCCACAGTGCACTTACTCCACAAAATCCCAGCACCGCCCATCTACTACACTGCGTCGTGAGAGCGGAAACGACAGGCTTTCCTCCTCCTAGAGGAACACTTAACAAGAAGAGTCTCAAACGTTACCAAAGAAGACTAGCAGTCCCAAGGGACAGCCATTCCCTAAAAGCAGTGGTTACCAGCGGCTCTTTAGCGTCTCTCATACTTTAGCACGGTGTTCAATTCTTGATAAAGCAGCATGCATTACCTATGTTATATATAAATACATCTCATGGTATGTCAGTATTATATGAAACACGCATGTATATGTGATATATAAACACACACAGCTGTTCTCCCGCTAAAGGCCCCACACGTCCACGCCGCAGCGAGGGCCGGCTGGCGGCGGGCGCGTGCCCACCTGCAGGGCGGTGAGGATGTTGGCCAGCGCCTGTCCATAGGTGTCGTGGCAGTGGACGGCGAGCGCCCCGGGCGGGATCTCCTTCTCGATGCTCTCCAGCATCCGCCGCATGCTCCCCGGGGTCCCCACCCCTGTCGTGTCTCCCAGAGAGATCTGGTAGCAGCCCATGGCGTACAGCCTCTTCGATACCTGTAGGGACAGGGGCAGAAGGAGAGGCTCCAGGCTCCGCTCCTCCGGAGGGAGTGCTCACAACCAAGATGAATTTGCCCCGGAACACTTACACTGGCACTTTCTAGTGTTTTCCCTGGCTTGTTGGATCCTAAATAGCAAAACAAAACTTCCCAATTATTACCATTCTGCTTTTCTAACATTTTGTGTTTGCCTTAGAGCCATATCTATTTAATATGCACTTCCCTGTTCGGCTACAAAGTCCTAAGCCACCATCCCAATTAGGAGGGGCATATACTTAGTGACACTTCAATGGCTCAAAAGTATTACAGATTTTCTTAACTCCATGTAGACATAAAATTTACTCTAGCTATGGTACTAGAGGTCAAACAACACCCAGAGCCATTACAGCGCGGCTGCTGCTCATTATTTCTGACCTTTTTTTCTAGATCGTAAGTGGCAGGATTTGCATTGCAAGTTCTCATCAAAAGAAGCAAGTTCCCTAAGTGAACTCAACGGGAATTCACATGAAGACACGTCACCTGGACAGACGCGGGACTTGCTGGACAGACGCGGGACTTGCTGGGGCATGCTATCAGAAAGTTCCAGGTTGGTCATGTGATGTTGGGCAGAATATTAATTTTTTAAGCCTCAATCCCTAATCTGAAGAATGCAGACAACAAAATATCTTCCTTTGGTAACCCTTCATTCCACACACACACACACACTTTCCAAATGAGACATGCTATTGTTAATGGCACAGTTGAGGATTAAATGGAAGTATGTGATTTCTGGCACACAGCACTCCTCCATCCCTCCGGCCTGCTCTCCCCAGTGTCTGGGCGGGGCTCAGCTACCTGGCTCTGAGGAGGAATGGCCTATGGATACCAACATTCCCTGTGCTGGGAGGGGCTGGGCAGACGTCCTCTGCACTGAGGAACCCCAAGTGTCAACCAGAGTAAGAATTCTGACACACGTGTACAGGATCCTCTGAGCATGGCGCATGACCTAGACAGGTCAAACAGGGAAAGCTTATGTGGTAATCTGAGGTAAAGTAAACTTGGAAGGGGTCAGAAGAAATGGTCTCAGAAGAATGTTCTAGAAAGACTACCAACCTTAAAGCTGATGGAATATGAAAAGCAAAGGACGTGCTAGGGCAGGGAAAGTTGAACGGATATGGCAATGTGAAGTTAAAACATCGGAAGATCATACTCCGGAAGCAAGCTCACATCCCAGAATAACCACAGGGGCCGGACAGGAAGTGAGGTCACACCTCATAACCATGGTGGAACCATGGCCCTGGGGTAGAGTACCTGCACATCGAGCATGAGGTTGAGTTCAAACCCCGGTGTTAATAAATAGCAGCAGCACCTGACCTCCCAGCTATGACAAAAAGAATAGGAGGATCACAGTCCAAACTGTCCCACACCAAAGAATAGCACAGCAACAAGAGGGGGAGGCTTGGCTCAAGTGGTAGAGCACGTGCCTGGTGAGCATGAGGCCCTGAGTTCAAACCCCACTGCCCCTGAGAGAGAGTGAGAGCCAGGGAGGGAGAAAGAGAGGATGCGGAGGAGGAGGATGCGGAGGATGAGGAGGAGGAGAAGGAGGGGGATGAGGATGAGGAGGATGAGGATGAGGAGGATGAGGAGGATGAGGAGGATGAAATCAATCTGCTGAGAAAATCGACAGCAACTCTCCCAAGTTCCAATGGGTACACAGAAGAGGAATGGCCTTAGCTGCCTGACGGGTTTAACAGAGTAAATGTGAGTTTTCTAGCTACATCTTCACTGCTAAGGGTTGTGTTATTTAATCCATGAGAACCTGCAACCTTAACAAGGGGTTTGTGCCTGCAAATGTGTTTCCAGGACCCTCAGGGCGTTGCGCAGTCTAGACGTTGTCTTTCATCAGCGTGAGTGACTGACGCTCAAGGACAGGCCACACACAGCGGTAAGCAAATTCTCCGTGACTGCGCTCTACCGCGGAGACATCGTCCTGCAGCCTACCAGCGCGCGGCCCACAGTGCGGCGTGGGGAGGCCAGCGCGGCCCACAGTGCGGCGTGGGGAGGCCAGCGCGGCCCACACTGCGGCGTGGGGAGGCCAGCGCGCGGCCAGTGGAGCTGTGAGCTGTGTGCACGCTGCCCTTGCACTTGCATGGAAAGGGAAAGCGTTCACTACACTACGTCACGGAAACACAAAGCAGAGGTCTGCCTTCCTCCCATCTTTAGCATCCCATGAACAACCAAGGGGCTTGACCACTACTTAGTTCTGAGACAAGACAGCCAGCTTTCGAGTCCTTGGTGCTCACGTGACTCACTAAACAGAGGCAATGAACAGAAAAGAAAATACCAACATCCACTTTGGAAAAGAATGCGTGCTTTTACCATGAACCTCAATGGCTGGAGGCAAATCTTACTTCGGTCACTTTCTGTGGCAGGACGCTTCCTTCGTAAGGACAGCCCAGGGCACAAGACACATACCTGAATGAACACAGAATCACGTCAGCACACGTGGCATGGGTCCGCCATCTCCTCTCTGTGATAGGAGGAAGAGCTGGAGAGGCGGCCGGGAGACTGGCTCTAGCCTCTCCTCTCATTACTGTCTTATGCTTAGACCAAACAAAGGTTATGCAGGGTATTTTCAGTTGACTCATCTTTCCTTCTTTCTTACAACTACAATTTGATATGTGTTGTCATCTGATGACAGATGACACAAAATCAGTTACTTACCATGTAGGGCTGTGGATACCACAATGACCTACAATGTTTCGAACCCAACCGAATATATGTTTGTATTAAAATAATTACATAATTCAACTTGTCTCTATCCAGGTCTTTATTTAGATAATTATGTAATTCAACTTCTAAATATTCAGGTCTAGAATGCTATGTTGACACTAGGTTTCCCTTTGAACTGTTATCTGGATTTTCTTTTTCTTTCTGTCGATCCTGGGGCTTGAACTCAGGGCCTTGCCGCTGTCCCTGAGCATTTTTGCTCAAGGCTAGCACTCTGCTCTACCACTTGAGCCACAGCTCCATTTCTGGCTTTTAGGTGGTAAATTGGACTCAGGGACTTTCCAGCCTGGGCTGGCTTTGAACAGTGATCCTCAGATCTCAGCTTCCTGAGGATTACAGGAGTGAGCCACCAGCACCTGGCTATCGGGATGTTTTGATAGCACTGGATGTGGAGCTAGTTTTTAATCACTCCCAAACCCTAGAACGGAGCCCGGCTTTGACTCTCATCTTATTTCTCCATCATGGCTTACATAAATCATCTTAAGCAGAAGAATGTCTGATGTTCCAAATAAAGCTTTCCATCAGCCATTCACTCTGAAATAAAATGCCAAGCCTTTCCTGCAGGCACACCAGGACAGGGCCGTTTGAGCTCATGTCAGCTCATCACCAATCCCGCCCGATTAAACTCCCCTTGGATAGTTGTACAACACTTGGTATTAAAATAACGCCTCGTGTGTCCGATGCTGAGGGCCAGTGAGCCACAGGAGGCTGGGTGTGGTCCTTCCGGCTCGAGCATGCCAGCGTGGCCTAGCGAGGGCCTGTACTGGATGTGGGGAGGATGCGCAGAGGCTTAGGAGGTAAGGTCGTGAAAAGACGGAATCGTTTTCCAGAAATACCATCTTCGGGAACTACGGCTTGCTTTTCTGCCCTCACCGACGGACTACCTGATTGGAATCCTTAGATTTCTGCTTCTGGAAATGCTCCATCGTGGACTGATTTCAATTAAATGGGCTGGGCCCAGGCACGGCCTGCTCATAAAGGCACTGGATGATCACACGGGCAAAGTCCCCAAGAAGATCATCACCGGGCCGGCAGAGCAGACGCCTGCTGACCCCAAACTCAGCCGGCCAGTCATCTGCCCACGCGCCTCAGCTGTTGCTCCCTAGTGAAGCTGCATTTCCTTAGTGGGTCTTCAGGAGAGATTTGCAAAGCGTTCTTTCCTTGTAAAATGACTTGATTTTGCACAGAATAATCTTCTCTTAGTCACCAAATTTACGTATTCACCACTGTCACCCATCTTTTTCTCAGAACTCCAGATTGCACGGTTTTGATCCCCCATCTAAGGAGGGGCCCCACGTCC